GCACGGAGCCGCTGCCACGTGTGCAGTCACTGTAGCGTCGGCGCATGCTCACGTGGCCGTGTTGCAGTGCGACACGCCGGTGCGGGTGCAGATCCAGCTGCGGCGACCCTCCGACAAGCAGTACAGCGACCCGCGCGCCTTCACGCTGACGCCCGTCGAGACCGGTGAGAGCGGCCGCCGGCCGGCCCGCCAGCTGAGCGCCCCGACTGGAGGCGCCGCACGCTGGGTCTCACGGGCGGCGTTACAGACTAATGTTTTCCGTGCAGGCCCATGCAGTGTCCAGCATTGCGCGGTCGGCAGCCGTGATTGAACTGCGCTCTGTGCCCGGGGAGTTGTGGCGAGATAGTATCGGTGAATGTGTGCCGTTTGCTCGGCTGCAGCAGGTGGGGTGCTCGCAGGTTACACTGAACACCTGACGGCCGAGCGCTTGCCTGCGGGCCGTCCCCAGACAGACGCGATGGCACCTGGAGATGTAGGGCGTTGCTTGGCAACGAACGGCTTTGGCGGCTGCAGCACTGCCGAGCGGTGGCGGCTCTGTTGAACCCGGAGCGTTGCAATCCGCTGCTGAGAAAGTCCTGCGGTCTGGCCGACGTTACGGGACACGGCACCGGTTGTACGAGCGTGGCTCCGAAGCGCTCGGGAATCCCAGCGTGATGTCTGGTGCCAGCGGCTTACTCTCCCGCCCCCTTCCCCGCAGACGGGATCGAGGAGAAGAAGAGGAAGCTGGCCCGGAACTCGGACCGGCTGCACCGCTTCCTCGCCGAGAACATCGGCGACGAGGACGGCGGTGAGTATCCTTCCCGGCGCCGACCGCGGGCGCCCTCACGAGGCGGCGCCACCGGCGGGCCGGCGCCTTGGGCCCGGCGAGCGCCGCCGCCGGACCGGTCCGGGCGGACCGGCAGGGGCGGGGGCGGGCGTGCTCGCGCGCTCAGGGGGGCGGGGGGCGGGGATGACCGGCCTCCCCAGACCGGCCCCGCGACCGATCCGTTAGCGGGCCGGCCTTCCGCCGGCCGGCCCGGTCGGCTGGAAATCCCCGCCGGTGTGAGCCGCCGCCTCCGGTTGCGGTCGCGTGGCGCGGAGGCGCCCGGGCCGCTCCCGCCTCTTCGGCGGCGGCGGCCGGCCGGCGCATCACAACACGTCACGGGGAAGCCCGCCGCCGCCGCCGCCGCCGCCCGTGACGCCGTGGTCGTGCTGGCCGGCCGGCAGCCGGCTGGTGTTTGTGGCGGTGACGCCAGTGCGAGCTGTATCTGGCCGGCAAGCCGGATGCCAGGTTGCGCCATGTTTGGGTGGAGGCGTCGCCGCCTCTGTCGCAATCTCGCAGCGACGAGTGGTGTGCATCTGTACCAGCTGTTAGCATGAGGCAACACTATCTGCGGTCTGGTGTATCAAGCTGTTATCGCGAGTGGCCCACGTCGCTAACAGCATGCGACTCTCTGTCAGTGAGATCCTCGGCTTTCATAACATTGATAGCCACGTGAGGGGAGCCCCGCGTCGCCTGGCGCCAGGCGCGGTGGTGCCTCGTGCGTGCCGTGTACTGTGTGAGCGGCGAACTAACAGTGCTGACCAGCTGGCGCTCGGTCGCAGGCGGACACGGCTTCGAGGGCGGCGGCGCGCGGCCCAAACTGAAGGTGGCCTCTCGCGGCCGGCTGCGACACATCAAGCCGGAGCCAGTTGGTGAGTGCGAGCGGCCAAGAGTCGCTGAGTTGTCCTGACTCGGGGTGCAGCAGGACTGGGCTCGCAACAAGCGGCGTCTCTCGGTCCGTTTCAGTTCAGAAGGGTAACAGCATTGGTTGTCTACGCTTGCTATCTTGTTACACGCAAACCCTTAGCTCTCTTTGTTTTGCCTGAAGGCATTGTGAACTCCGATTGCTAAAGTTGTTATATGCAAGCTCGTGTCTTTTGGTCATTTTGATGCAGCATGACCCGCTTCCTCCCTTCATGACTGATTACTAAGGTAGGAATCGTCGTGTAAGTTAGCATATGAATGCATGTGTTGCAGCACATGTTACTGTCCACCTCCTGGCGTGGTACATGCCGGCATGGCACGTGACGTATGTTATTCGAGCTATTGCACAGACTCATGATTGCATCAAAGTACAGGGTGCATCCTCTCGACGATATGACTACTGACTAAGGCCCGCCCTTGATCACACGGCGCCACGTCGCCTCCGGCCGCCGGCCGCCGGCCGCCGCCCGTCGACTGACGCGTCGGTGCCGTTGCAGACCCGCCGTCGGAGTCGATGTACGCGCCGGCGGCCGACCTCGTCTCGCCGGGCGGCATGTCGGGCGGCGGGATTGTGCGGCAGCCGACGCCGTTTGAGCTGCAGGCGGCGCACTACCAGCGGTCGCCGGACGGGACGCGGCCCGGTTACGCGCTGTACGGCGGCGGCGGCGGGCCGGCGCCGCGCGGCCACCGCTCGCCCCAGCTGGCGGCCGCCGCGCCGGCCGGGCCGCACCAGCTGCTCGACATGGACACGCAGCGGCCGGTGGCGTCGGCCGGCGGCATCGAGCTCGACCTGAGCCAGATCAACTCGGCCGAGCTGAGCATGCTGAGCTTCCCGGCCGAGTCGGAGGCCAACGTGCAGGCGGTGGAGGGCCACCTCAGCAGCAACCTGTCGGCCAGCTTGAGCTTCCTGGACGTGCCGCCGCCGCCGCCGCGCCCGCCGCCGGCCGAGGAGCGCAGCGACGCACAGATGGACAGCTTTACGCGCAATACCATCAGCGAGCTGGAGTTCCTCAACCAGCTGAGCAAGAAGTGAGCGGCCGGTGCCGGGGGCCAGCGCCTACGGATGATCTCTGTTTGTGTGCGCGCGTGCGTGCGGCGAGAGCCGGCGGCGGGGCGCTGCGGGCCTCCTGGCGGCGGGCGAGACCGGGGGAGCGGCTCGGCTCCTGGCGGGACCAGGCTGATCTCGGGCATGACTCGGTCAGGTCACAGGCGGAGAGCAGGTCCCGGCCAGCGGAGGAGAGGGGGGGGGGGGGGGGAGAGGGGGAGCCGAGGCAGCGGGTGAGGGGTTGACTCGGGCGGGCTCGGAAAACGTGAACGGTGTGAGAGCTTTAGGAAGGGTCTGCACTGGATGGTGTTCGGCGAGCTTAACAGGCTGGTTAAGCTACACGGTGCGATGCGCAGCGCAAAAGAGGCGTGGATGCGCTTACGAAAGACGCGCGATGGAAACGGCTGTGCGAAGCAAGATCATCATGCAAGAACGGAGGCGGGTACTGCAAGGCTTGTGAAGCAACTGTGGTGTGTGGAACGTCGCGGAGCCGCGGGGCGCCGGCGTCCTCCGTCGAGGGGTACAAAGCGCCGGCCAGCTCCCGGACGGGTCAGGCAAGGCTTGTGACGAGTGTGGCGCGCGACTGCGGCCCTCCTAGCTTATGATGCGTCGAGCGGCGATACTGGCGCGGCCGCCGTAATGTTGTAGATGGCTTTTGCTACTTTTAGCGTTACTGCGGCGGGAGTCCGCACTTATTGTGGGCGGCGTGACGTTGCCCGGTGCCGTCAAACCCGTGTCCGTCGCTGGCGCCACCTAGTGGTTCGTCCGAGATGGTGTTGCCATCGTGTTGAGCTTGACAGCGAGGCCTCTCGCTCTAATCCAGCATATCCATATACGACGCTTCCAGGCGTGTCCTTTCACGCACCCTTGCCAACGGGCCGGGGCACGGCGGCGCTCTCCCCTCCACCCTTGGCCTGGCCCGCGCCGGGCTCCGTTTTTATAACTGTTGGTGTGTTGACGGCCGCACTCGGGGTGCGCGCGCGCGCGCTGGGCCGCCAGGTGCAACGGGCCCCGCCGCGCTCGGGTGCAGCGCTCTCGTGGCTGCAATACCCGATACCCTTGCGTGCACGCGCGGTGTTGGCGCCGCTCTCGAGGGCCTGCGCGCGTGGGCCGGAGCAGCGCCCGTCGCTAGAGCACGCCTTCGATGTTGGTCGCGCACCTGAATGTGCCCGCAAGATTCATCTTTTCATTACACCTGCGTTTTGCGGTGATTAATGCACACATTTTGGTCGTTTGTTACGTCCATGTGGATCGTGAATACAATTCTCGCCCGTCGCTGGTGTTTGTGTGCCGTGCACGCATGAATCGGAGCTACCAGCCATTCGACCCCGGCGAAAATCCGGTTCACAGAATCCTTGAACGCGCCGTTTATCTCGCCCATCTCGCGCGGTCGGGGCCCGATGGTTTGAACCGGCCGACGCGCGTCAGTCATCCCGCGCACCCCTTGCCTGCCCGACGATTTGAGGTATGTGCGGTTGCGCTGATGCATGTGCTCAGGAGCGACCCGGAATCCTGCATGGTACGGTCGTTGCCGTTTAAGGCGTTCACTGTTGTTTTCGGCCTGAGCCGGATTGGTCAGAAATCGTATGCAAATGCCTCTTGGCTTGGTCTGCTGGCATTGCTGTCACGGATGCATCAGTGCAGACTACAGTCTCGACAGTTCCTCTCCGCTAAGCACGCGATGCGCGTCGCCGGCGCACTTCGTTCTGCTCTCAGTTCGTGGGGACCTCCAGTTACTGGGGCCCTATGGCTACTGTTCTTGACCCGTGTCTCATCGATATTGCATAACCATCGGCGTGCCTGATCATTGCATTCGTTTCGCAGAACCCGCTGACACCCGCCGCCCACATTAATGCTTTTTTGCTACGGTTTCGCGGCGGTCGGGGTTTCGCACTCCTTATGGCGCTGCATTGGTGTGGATTAAAGTTCGCGCTTCATGTGAAGGTGGGAGAGGCCTTATTTTGAGCAGGTCACCCGCAAAAGATGCTGAGAATTTTTCGAGTACTCTATCTCAAGCACGTGGTGCTATATATCAACTACAGTGCATGGCCGCATGCTGTTTTTATATAGGTCCAGAGCAATGCTGAACCTCACCCGCCACTCGCGCCGTAGGCATCCCGCGTCTCTGTTTACGCACGCTCCCGGCGGGCAATTACAAGCTCTCGGCCAATCAGAAAGCGAGGTTCAAAACGACGCCGCTCGGGCAGCGACATCGGACGCCGAATTTGTCTTGGTAGCGCCGCGAGGTTTATGTTCGTGAGGTGGTCAACGTTGAAAAGGTATCCGCGCCGGTGAAGGTTAGTGCTAAGTATATGATGTGAGATGCGTCAAATTGTGGTTTAATCTTTTCGCGTGTCATTTATCAGATATTTGAAGTACCTGCGTGTTAAGGGCTGACCTGATCGCTTCGTCAGTGTTGCTGCCGCGCATCGCTGCACTCAACGAAGTGCCGGCAATTTTATGAAATTATGGTGGATTTCCGTGCGCTCAGCGTAATGAGGCGTTGGAATTCAACTGAATGATTTCATTTGGACGGTTTACCTCTTGCATCTTTGCTCGGTTTCTCAGTCCATTCACCAAAATATGGTTTGACTTGGTGAGATTATCCAAACTTGGTGGGAACATTGAATTGAAGAATTGAGGGTATAAAGTATTATGTGACATGAAAAGTGGAAAAAACACAGAATGCAACTCAGTCTGATTATGAAGTATGTTTTGAGAATAGATCCACAAATTATGTGATGGAACATATGAATTGTGATTTAGAGGTTAGTAATATGGAATGGAGTTAACAGTGGGTGGAATGAAATCCTGATGTGAACAACATAGTGCTCAGAAAACTAGTGTGTGCAACAAATAGTAAAATAGATGCTATGTTCCCATAACCCAAACACTTCCAACTTAAGCTTTTTGTAGCCTGTACAACAGCAGAAAATGCATTTTCTAATTGCACCAGAAATGGTTTAACAGAATCATGTCTGTAATCAGGGTATCTCAAGGTGGCATCATGGCCTAGTCAAAATTGGGCTGATATGAGAACCAAAGCTGTAAACCAAACCCAATGTGTTGTAAATCAGAATCAGAACTGATGACTGCTTTAGCCTTTTGCAATAGGATGTAAGTGTAGCCCAAGTAAAAGGTGCTAGATTGTGTTTAAGACTGATATCCAGGGCTGGGGCCACAGGCTTGTGCAATGCATAAGAGGCTGAGGCTCACACTGGGGCACTGGATCCTGTGCATTGTTATGTTTTGTAATTAAGCTGGTGTAATTGTCTGAACTCTGACACCACTTCAGACATTTCTATATGAATCAGTTTGACCATGACGTAATACAGTTTGCTTGCCCTGGTGTTAGGTGTCAACTCAAGCAGCATGCAGTCAAACAGAAGACCAAAATGGTATAGCAATGTTGATTATCAGTCCAATAAATAAAGCAAGTTGTCTTCTGTTGATGTGGGAAATTGCACAGGCCTGCAAGTTCTGTGTATTAATTCAGCTGGCTATTAAATCATTGGCTCTGCCTTTTGTTTTAAGTCTTGAGAGTTCCAAGGTACAGTTTATTTAAAGTCTGGGGAGTATCCAAAGTTCCTGGATCCTTTCCTCCCATGCAACAATCTGAAAAACAGGCATGAGAAGTCTTGCCTTTACCTTTTGCCTGGCCATTTCTGTTGCTGAGCCAGTGCCTAAGTTATCATTTTGTTCTCAGATGCCTACAAGGGGCCGTACACCATCTCGTGGCAGAGCTGGCGTGAGTATTACCTTTGTTTCAGTCATAATATGCACATCATTTGTTATTGTGGGATGACTTGTGTTAGTTGAATATTTTGGCATTGGTTTATATCATGTTCATGTTTTTTTAGCTACATCCTTGGATATCTATGTAAACATCTTATACTTGGTGCTATCAATGAAAAGCCCATATTTGCATCATAGAAGTTCATGAACTTGAGATCTGCTGTTGCAGGATCATTGCTGTGCATTGTTGATGCATGGTATGGCAGTATGATGTAGAAAATGATAGATTTGTGATCATTTTCAAGATGTTTACTGCACACCAACCATGCATGATCTGGTTTCTTGATGCAAGAAACTTATAGGTGTAGCACTACTTTATTTATTTTTTGTAGCTTTGTGCATGCCAGTGCAACACCTATCAACCCATCAAATCCATGTCCACTAGACCGCACTGCCGCAGGCTGTCAAGAAGTCGCCAGCGCGCTCACGATCGCGTAGTCGCGGACGCAAGTCGCCGGCGCGTGGCGCCCGCTCACCAGCGCGTGTCAGCAAGTCGCCGGCGAGGGTCAGCAAGTCACCGGCGAGAGCCAGCAAGTCACCGGCGAGAGTCAGCAAGCCGTCGCCGCCGCCGCTGCCGCGAAGCAGGTCGCCCGCCCGCGTCACCCGCCCGCGGTCCCCAGCGCGTGTGGCCGCACCTGCGCCCCAGCCGAAACGTGAGACGCCGGCGCGGTTGCACAATCCGACTTGGCTGACAGTGTGTATGTGGTTGTGTCTGGTCATACTTGTGATATCACTGAATACTTTAGTACAGTTTCTTGTTTTCGTGTGCTGTTGCTTACAGTGCTCGCCGTTAGTGAAGGGAATGTGTATGCCAGAAATATTGCCAGGTGACGCAGCAAAAGAAAACTGACACCTTTTATTGCTACCTTTTAGTTTGTGCTCTGATATGGCTACAATTAATCAACAAAGTTTTGACTTAAGCATGGAGCACAGAGATAGCTGCTGCAACATCGCGATACTTCTCATTTATCCACCAAGGTTCAAACCAGAACTCTGCAGCCCAGTTAGAATGGAAACAGCGAATTTTGTCGAACAGAACGATGCTGGAAAATTAGGCGGGAGATGTCCAGATTTTGTAACTAGGTAGCTCAAACAAACCCTTCCCAGTTGGTCTGGTGCATGACCAGCGATGTAGCGTCAGCGCCTGCTCCGGGAGTCCGCGACCAGTCCCGACCTGCGCCGCGCCGGCAGCCGCAGCTCTGAGGCCGGTGACGCCACCGTCGGAGCGGCCGGCCGCCGCGTCTTCGGTGCTGCTCACGTCCACGCCGAGGTCGGAAGCGCGGGCGCGCCGACCCATCTCGCGCACGGCGCCCGAGGCGGCCGTCAGCCCGGTGCCGGCGTCGGTGCCGGCTCCGTCGGCGGCGGCGGCGACTGTTGAGGTGGCGCCACCGTCGAGCGCCACCCGCCAGTCGGCCCGCATTGCCAGCAAGCTGAGGGAGGTGCGTGCTGTGCGTGGGTGGGCCGGAGGGGGGGGGGAGGGGGACGGAAGTGACATCTTTACTTGTGTGAAGTCTGAAGTCTTGTGTGAAGTGGCAGTGGAGCGATGGCATGCTTTCTCCGTACCGATCTCTCGTGTGGATAAGGTTGGGATTTGGATACAGATTTCTAATGTGGTGTACCAGGCTGCAGTGTAGATGTATGACCTGTGAGCACATGTGTGGCCGTAGCAGAGGACGACCGTCGTGACGCAGTCCGCGCCTGTACCGAGGCTAAGCCTTCGCGATCTCGTGTTCCGCGCTGGGCGAAAAAACTGGTCTACTGACGTTGTCCCCCCCCCCCCCCCCCTCCAGCTGGGCATCGACCCGGCGGCCGGAGGTGACACGCTGAAGGAGCCGAACGGCGACGACGAGCCACTGAAGAAGGCGGCCAACACGGCCTCCTGGGGTCGCGTGCTGCTCTCGCCCGCAGTCTTCCTGCTGGCGCTCATACCGCTCTACCTGCTGTCTGCCTGCAACAAGGTAACAGGAGAGGAGAGCTTCCGCCACAGCATAGAGCAGTGGGAGGCAGCACTGTTTACTGTATTGGGCACAGGACACTGCTGGTGTTCAGTACCTGTGGTTTCTGAATGAACAACTTTGCTCGCCGTCGTGGTAACACTTAAAGCAGCCTCTGATTTTGCAATGATGCTTTTCATGCGTGATGAAAGCAGTTTTTTGGCGTTTGGTGTTCTTGATGATGCCAAGTACTGAAATCGGCTCACTGTTCCATATTGGTGGGATTTCTTGGAAACATGTAGGCATGTTGTTCATAAGTACGCGCTTCACCACGTGCGACAAAGCACCATCGGGCTTCGCGCCGTCGGCCGTGGGCGCCGGCATCGCCGTCACGCGTCCTCGCCGCGGTTCGCAGAAGCACTGCAGCATCGGTCGGCTGCCGGACCTGCCGCGCGCGCTCAAGTCCTGGCTGGACCCGGTCGCCTTTCTCTACGTGTTCGGTCTGCTGGCGGTCCACCTGCTGCTGGCGCTGCTGCCGGTGGGCCGCGTCGTCGAGGGCCAGATCTCCAAGCAGGGTCTCCTGCGCTACCGGTGCGGCGGTACGTGCCGGCAGGGGTTACCGCGGGCTGTGCGGGGCGGGAGCTGGCCGGCCGGCCGCGAGTAAGACCTGAGTCGTTGGATTGGAGGCTGGGTTGTAACCAGCTGGTGGGATGTGGATGGGGGATTGTTGCCATTTGATGACAACTGCGCCATTGTACTATCGCACATGTTGTGCAAACTTCGCTACCCAGCGGCGCTGTAAGTTGTCTTCTATCCCCAACGAAAGTTTGTTCATCTTCTTAGCTGCTCTACAGTTCAGAATTCTGTCGCGTGTAGTTTGACGCAGGCGACATCTGCCGTCCGTTCTTGCAGGCTTCGTCTCGCTGACGCTGACGCTGAGCGGCGCCCTGCTCGCCTTCTACCTCGGCTTCCCGGTGCTTGCGGTGTTGCTGAAGCTGCGCCTGCTCCTGGTGTCGGCCACGCTGACCAGCGTGCTGCTAGCGCTGGCGCTGCACCTGCGCTCTCGCCGCGCTCACCTGCTCGACATCAACCAGGCCGGCGACACCGACTCGCTGCTGGTCAACCTGGTGGAAGGGCGCGAGCTCTCGCCTCGCCTGCTGGGCGTCGACCTGAAGCTGTTGGTGGTGCGCAGCTGCTGCGTGGCGACGGCACTGCTGGCGGTGCTGATGGCGCTGGCGGAGCGCGCCAGCCACGGCCAGTCGTCGCCCACACTGGTGACCGTCGCCGCCATGGTGGTCGTGCTCTGTCTCGACCGTATGTGGTTCGAGGACAACCTGCTTACCACCTACAGCTTCATGAACGAGGGGCTCGGCCTGCGCCAGCTGCTTGTGCTCCTCACGGCGCCGTTCTACATGACCTTCAACCTCCGCTTCATCATGGTCACTGGGTGAGTGACTGTGGCTGTGGGAGCTTGGTGTCGCTGGGATGCGCTGCTGGTGATCAACATTTGGCAGCCAGGTGTCCGGCTCCCATGGCTTTCACCTACTGGATTTGTCACCTAAATATTGTGCTGCCTGTCCTCTGTTTGCAAGACTGGCACTGGGTGTTTGTCGATGCTCACCAGTGGTTTTGCAAAACAATGGTGTTAGACATGTTTTGGGTATTTTGTTCCATCTGCACCCTCAAAGAGTCGCATCTTACTGTTAAATGTCGTCATTTGCCAGTTTGTGTTGTTCCCCTCTATGAATCTCCCTGCCCACTCCCACCAATATGTTGATGTCATGCTCAAAACTAGTTAAACTTGCACCATACCCCTGTTTTCTACGTGATGTCCGTGGAGCTTTGTGGTAAGGAGAGTTGGAGATTTGCATCACTGACAAAGGAGTTAATTTGTGTGACATTGGCTGTTCTGTCTTTCGGATGCTCCGCCTAGAGCTTGGCATTGGATTTGACTACGGAATTTGGGTATACTTCCCCAATGATCGAAGTGGTCACTACAGTTTAGCAGATATTTCTGCGGTATCCATGGCGTGTGCACACACGTCGCTTTATTAAAGATGGGGAGAATAGTGCGTGAAATTGGAAGAGCTCTGCTCATGGAGCTTCTACGTAAGTCAGAAATGCGGGATGCTCTGCTATGCTCGATGGTTTATTTTCCCGCATATCCGTTCAAACACCGCGTCTGGGCGGCCTGGCCTCCCGCCGCACCCTCTGATATAGCGTCGGTCCGTGTGCAGGGTCTCCCAGCCGTGGTACGGCCTGCTCGGCAGCGGCGTGCTCTTCATGGTCGGCTACCTGATCCAGCGCTCCTCCGACTCCCAGAAGAACGAGTTTCGCAAGAACCCCGTCAACCCGGCACTGGCCCGTGAGTGCGGGCGGGCGGAGGCGATCGGGCTCGCCCAAAGTGCGCGGACCGCAAACCCGATTTGTGCCCAGTGATATGGAAACCAGTTAGATACCAGACAGTTAGATACCAAACCAGACAGAAGGCCAGACATGGGGTGCTAAAAGACGGTTACGGTTAAGCGTTTGTTGTGGCGCCGCTTGTTGGCCTTTCCCACTGGTCTCGTTCACCGGCTGGCCCCACTTCACCAAGCTTTCCAGTTGCCATCAGTGTAAACATATGCTTGTGTAGAAGTCGTCAAATAGTTCCATGGGTATCAACTCAAGTCCTGGATAACTTGTTCATGGTGTGTGAACGTCAGTATTGCGCGTGACGTGGCTGGACGGGCGCCTCGCTCCTGCGTTCCGGCGGCGCGTCTGACCGGCGTGTGCTCCGCCGCAGACCTGGAGACCATCCCGACCACCAAGGGCAAGAAGCTGCTGGTGTCCGGCTGGTGGGGCGTGGTGCGCCACCCCAACCGGCTGGGCGGCCTGATCATCGTCACTGCCATGTGCCTGCCGCTGGGTACGGGCAGCGGTGGGCCGGCGTGCAGCGCGCCGTCCTGCTGGCGGGAGGCGCGCGGCCGCGTGTCGGCGGCGGCGCCCCGGCCGTGCCGGTTACGGGTCTGGGTGCTCGCTTTTCAGCGGCAGACGAGCTGCCTTCGATCGAGATTGTTGTCGCTTTTAAACGTAGTGAACTGACGAGTTGAGCTGAACGTAACGATTTGGAACGTAACGTAACGAACTGGAATGTAACGTAACGAACTGGAACGTACGTAACGAACTGGAACGTAACGAACTAACGTAACGTACTGGAACGTAATGTAACCAACTGATTTGTTTAGATCGGAACAGAGCTACAACCGTGTGTTTCAAAGGAAGCTCTCACGCTCGCGCTGCTCAGTGTACCAACTGCCCACGTTTCTCTCCATTTGATGTGTCCCTAGCGTCGTTTGGACACCAGTGCATGCAGAACTCGGTTCTCCCTGGTCATCGCAACCATCCCCAATGCCGATGTGTTCCACCGGCCGCCGCCGTCACTCGTGCACCTACGAATGGCGGCATTCCGTCTGACAAGCGTCCCGTCGTGCCGGCAGGCTTCCAGCACGGCCTGGCCTGGCTGATGCCGCTGTTCGCCGTCGTCACCGCGACGCTGCAGACGCGCAAGCTGGACGCTCACTGCCAGCGCAAGTACGGCGCCGCGTGGGACCGCTACGTGGACCGCGTGCGCCACCGCCTCGTGCCGGGCGTGTACTGAGCGCCGGCGGCGGCGGCGCGGCCGTCTTCA